CTAAACAGTGTATTGTAGCTAGCAATAGGGCTAATAGGATTTGGGGTATAATCTATAGAAATATTGAATACAAGACAAGGGATTTTATTGTTTCACTGTATAGATCACTTGTAAGGCCTCATTTAGAGTACTATGTACAGTTTTTGGCTCCCTTTCTTAAGATGGACATTGAATTATTGGAGAAGGTTCAGAGAAGAGCCACTAGGATGATGGTGGGATTGTCCTATGAGGAGAGACTAAAATCTCTAAACCTTTTTTCTTTCACTGGAGAGGAGACGGATCAGAGGGGATTTGATTGAAGTGTTTAAGATTATCAAGAGTATTGATAATATAGATCCAAAATTTTTTGTGTTTAGCAGTAAAAACAATAGGACAAGGGGCCATAAATTTAAATTTTGGCAATGTAAGAGTCGTTTGAAGTTTAGATAGTATTACTTTTCAAACAGAGTGGTCGGCTTTTGGAATGAGCTGCCTTCAAGGGTGGTGCAGACAGAAAATTTAACTGATTTCAAGAAAAGATTGGATGAACACATTAGTAGTGAGGGGTAGTTACAGTTGGGAGCTGGAAGGGACATCCTTGATGGGATAATAAACTCTGTTTTGTCCCTTTAAAATTTTATGAAATTTATAATTTATGAAAATCGTGTGGATTATATATTTTTATAATGCAACTGAATTTCTAAAATATCTTGTCACCCCAACCTAAATGCTACGTGTGACTCTAATAACAGCCTTTCTTATAAACCTTGATGTTGATGGTTTTTCTAGTCCACTTACTGCAAGAAACCCTTCACTGGTCTCTACACCAACTGAAACAGTTTCTCTTCTTCTAACTACAAACGCAACCTGATTACATTTTCACTTTCTAGAGCTTTTAACATTTATCCTACACAACGAAATACAATTTCAGCATCTTTCTCTTCGAAAAATTGAGTATCCAGGGCATCTTCTTAAAACCATCACTTATGATTTTTGAATAGAAAACTCAGTACCTCTAACAACACTACACAGATGACTGTAACTATATGTCCCAAACATTTATACCTTCGTTACTTAGGTAAACAGAGCAAAATTCTTAAAACCTGCTACATAGATAAACTCACTAAACTGTTACATAGATAAACTCGCTAAACTGTTACATAGATAAACTCGCTAAACTGTTACATAGATAAACTCACTAAACTGTTAGATAGATAAACTCGCTAAACTGTTACATAGATAAACTCACTAAACTGTTAGATAGATAAACTCACTAAACTGTTAGATAGATAAACTCACTATACTGTTACATAGATAAACTCGCTAAACTGTTACATCGATAAACTCACTAAACTGTTACATCGATAAACTCACTAAACTGTTACATAGATAAACTCACTAAACTGTTACATAGATAAACTCACTAAACAATTACATAGATAAACTCACTAAACTGTTACATAGATAAACTCACTAAACTTTTACATAGATAAACTCACCAAACTGTTACATAGATAAACTCACTAAACAATTACATAGATAAACTCACTATACTGTTACTTAGATAAACTCACCAAACTGTTACATAGATAAACTCACTAAACAATTACATAGATAAACTCATTAAGCTGTTACATAGATAAACTCACTAACCTGCTACATAGATAAACTCACTAAACTGTTACATAGATAAACTCGCTAACCTGCTGCATAGATAAACTCACTAAACTGTTACATAGATAAACTCGCTAAACTGTTACATAGATAAACTCACTAAACTGTTACATAGATAAACTCGCTAAACTGTTACATAGATAAACTCGCTAAACTGTTACATAGATAAACTCACTAAACTGTTAGATAGATAAACTCACTATACTGTTACATAGATAAACTCGCTAAACTGTTACATAGATAAACTCGCTAAACTGTTACATAGATAAACTCGCTAAACTGTTACATAGATAAACTCACTAAACTGTTAGATAGATAAACACACTATACTGTTACATAGATAAACTCGCTAAACTGTTACATCGATAAACTCACTAAACTGTTACATCGATAAACTCACTAAACTGTTACATAGATAAACTCACTAAACAATTACATAGATAAACTCACTATACTGTTACTTAGATAAACTCGCTAAACTGTTACATCGATAACAAAGCCGAATTTTGGGAAAGAACCGTATTTAAATAAACATAACAAATAAACTATTTTTTACCATTCAAAGTACTGCATACTGACGTTGATGCATCATTTATTTACTGATATACCCTAGCAGCTCAAAACCAAACGTGTCCATGAATACAAGAAAACTGGTCAAATTTTATCATATACATATAACATATATACATAGAAACACTCACACGGTCAAAGTACTGGACACAACTTCATTAACTGACTTTAAAGCTTTACCTACAGTCCGAACAGACTTGGAACTTGTCATTAAAGAGAGACTACTTATTAAACAAAATCTCCCTAGATTAAATATCACCCAACATCTGTTGAATTAAGCTTGTTCTAATTATTTCTCATTCGCTATAAAGTCGCATTTAGTTATATTTATTTATAAAATTCCTTCAACATTCCTGTAACAAATATTTATGGTTTTTAGAAATATTTCAGTTTCATATTCTTTATAACTAATGTTCTGTATTGACTGTAGGAATTAAAAGATCTAACGAAACGTCCAACTCATTGATTGTTATTTCATGCAACAATTGAAAGAACAACTGGTGAGTAAGAAATTAGTCTCAAGTGGTAATGACGTAAATTGTTTGTCATAGAGAAATATACCAAATTTATCAAAACAAACATATGTTATATTTATACGTACCTCTCCATTAAAATAACAGAATAGCAGAGAAACACAGAGCCCCTGAAAAATACAAATAAATATAGGTTTAAACCTGTTTTGTATTGTTAACTACAGGTTACATCAAACACATATATAGGTTTAAACCTGGTTTGTACTGTTAGTTATGGATTACATCAAACACACATATGGGTTTAAACATGCTTTGTACTGTTAGTTAGGGATTACATCAAACACATATATAGGTTTAAACATGCTTTGTACTGTTAACTACAGGTTACGCCAAACACATATATAGGTTTAAACATGCTTTGTACTGTTAACTACAGGTTACGCCAAACACATATATAGGTTTAAACCTGGTTTGTACTGTTAGTTATGGATTACATCAAACACACATATAGGTTTAAACATGCTTTGTACTGTTAGTTAGGGATTACATCAAACACACATATAGGTTTAAACCTGGTTTGTACTGTTAGTTATGGATTACATCAAACACACATATAGGTTTAAACCTGGTTTGTACTGTTAGTTATGGATTACATCAAACACACATATAGGTTTAAACCTGGTTTGTACTGTTAGTTAGGGATTAAATCAAACACATATATAGGTTTAAATATACTTTGTAATGTTAGTTAGGGATTAAATCAAACACACATACAGGTTTAAAACCTGGTTTGTACTGTTGGTTAGGGATTACATCAAACACACACAGGTTTAAACCTGGTTTGTATTGTAAATTAGGGATTACATCAAACACACTCAGGTTTAAACCTGGTTTGTATTGTTAGTTAGGAATTACATCTAACACACACAGGTTTAAACCTGGTTTGTATTGTAAATTAGGAATTACATCAAACACACTCAGGTTTAAACCTGGTTTGTATTGTAAGTTAGGGATTACGTCAAACACATACAGGTTTAAACCTGGTTTATATTGTAAGTTAGGGATTATATCAAACACACACAGGTTTAAATCTAGTTTTTATTGTTGGTTGGGGATTATATCAAACACACACAGGTTTAAACCTGGTTTGTATTGTAAGTTAGGGATTATATCAAACACACACAGGTTTAAATCTGGTTTTTATTGTTGGTTAGGGATTATAGTGTAGTGTTACTTAACATTTTAACAGAACAAAGTGTACCTGTATCAGAGTGTGTAGTGTTACTTAACATTTCAACAGAACAAAGTGTATCTGTATCAGAATGTGTAGTGTTACTTAACATTTCAACAGAACAAAGTGTAGCCTGTATCAGAGTGTGTAGTGTTACTTAACATTTTAACAGAACAAAGTGTAGCCTGTATCAGAGTGTGTAGTGTTACTTAACATTTCAACAGAACAAAGTGTAGCCTGTATCAGAGCGTGTAGTGTTACTTAACATTTCAACAGAACAAAGTGTAGCCTGTATCAGAATGTGTAGTGTTACTTAACATTTCAACAGAACAAAGTGTAGCCTGTATCAGTGTGTAGTGTTACTTAACATTTCAACAGA